GTTGGAAAGGAGCAGCGGGCGACACAGGTTTCAGTGGTGCACGTGGTGAAACAGGGCCTAATGGACGACCAGGACCTAAAGGAGAACAAGGTGATCAAGGAATGGCTGGAGTACCAGGCCCGCAAGGAAGCCGGGTAAGTCGGAGTGCTTACTTTGTTTCAGACTGTGAAATTCCCTTTGTCAGGGCATGACCGGAAATCCAGGAATGAAAGGATATCCAGGTATTCCTGGAAATCCTGGTTACGACGGACCACCTGGTTTACCTGGACGAAGAGGAAACAAAGGTGCAACTGGAGAATCAGGAATACCTGGAAAGCCTGGAACTGCCGGACTGAAGGGAGCATCCGGCGACTATGGATATCCTGGTCCTAATGGTCAAAGAGGAGATGATGGATTTCCGGGTAGACCTGGTCAGGCTGGAAGTAAAGGCGAACCAGGTTTCCCCGGTATGCCCGGTCGTATGGGTCGTGATGGACTTCCCGGAATGCCCGGCATTCCCGGAGACAAAGGATACCCTGGACAGGCGGGATTACCAGGCTATGGAGCAGAAGGTGATATGGGTGATCAGGGTGCACGAGGTTTTGATGGCAGACCAGGCAGTCCTGGACCAAAAGGGCAACAAGGTGATGACGGTAGGCCTGGCGTACCTGGACGGCAAGGAGACATGGGCGATGCAGGCGTAGCCGGTGAAAAAGGAGAACCAGGAATTATGGGAATTCGAGGAAAACGCGGAAGAAATGGTGCTCCCGGAATGCCAGGCCCTAGAGGAGACGCAGGTTTTCCGGGGCGTCCGGGACCGGGAGGACCAGTTGGCTTTGAAGGCCCACCTGGGCAGCCTGGGTTGCCAGGCATGCATGGATTACCTGGCGACAGAGGCTTGCCAGGAGTGCAGGGTATGAGAGGCGAAGCAGGCCCTGATGGATTTCCTGGCATGCCTGGAACTAAGGGCGCACAAGGTGACGTCGGACGTTCCGGTTTTCCGGGTAGTACAGGGCAGAAAGGTCAATCCGGTGATCAAGGGCCACCTGGACCTGCGTTCCCGTTTGCTTATGAAAAATATGCTTTGAGAGGCGAGCCTGGTCCAGCTGGTCCTGCTGGTCCCGCAGGGCGGCCAGGCTTTCCTGGAAGACGAGGACTTCCTGGACCTTCAGGATTAGCAGGAGAACGTGGCGAGCCGGGTCCTACTGGCGAATTTGGACGGCCTGGGCCACCCGGTGCCCCTGGACCAGTTGGCGATGCTGGACCAAATGGACGAGCAGGAAGTCGAGGACAGCGTGGGCAAGCTGGCTATCCAGGTATTCCAGGTCCTAGAGGAAGACTTGGAGGAAGTCGCGGATTTTACCTTGTTCGACATTCGCAAACGATTGAAAATCCAAGATGTCCGTCTGGAACTTCTCTTATGTGGTACGGTTATTCCCTTCTTTATATCCAAGGTGATGGTAAATCTGCTGGACAAGACCTTGGTAAGATTCTTGCAGATTTTTCGCCATGACGATCAGACTTTTTCAGGTTCTCCGGGCAGTTGTATCAGAAAGTTTAGTACAATGCCTTTTATGCCTTGCAACCTAAACAGTGAATGCCATCTCGCGTCGAGAAGTGACTATTCCTACTGGCTTTCAACCCCTGAACCAATGACAGCTTCGATGAGCGCAGTCGTAGGAAACGCTATTCGTCCATACATTAGCCGTTGCGCAGTTTGTGAAACACCAACTCAGGTGCTGGCTGTCCACAGTCAGACGTCGACTGTTCCGGAATGCCCACGAAACTGGTCCAGTCTGTGGACTGGATACAGTTTCATAATGGTTTGTAAAAGCATTTTGGCGACAGTACTGTTCGACGAATGGGTTTTGTAGCACACAGCAGCTGGCGCCGAAGGAACCGGACAATATCTCCAAAGTCCTGGTTCATGCTTGGAAGACTTCAGAGCAGTTCCGTTCATAGAATGCCACGGCAAAGGTACCTGCAATTACTACGCGACCAATCATGCATTCTGGTTGGCTATTATCGAGAGAGTAAGTTGCGAAAGGCAGAACAGCGTGTTCTGGCGACTGTTCTTAGACGCACATAATACAATGCGTCAATTTAGGAGAACATGTTCAGGAAACCGTATCCTGAAACACTGAAGGCGGGTGGACTACGGCAAAGAATTAGCAGGTGCCAAGTATGCATGAGGAATGCTCCAACCAATTGAATCATTGGCTCAGCGCTACGCGGTCAAGGCAAATTATCCATTTGTCCGCTGTAATATTGCAATTTCATAACCAGTATGGATAACGCTTTAGCACTGCCGAAAGACGGTTATACTGACTGATTTCCAATTGTTACTTTGTACGATTTTTGAGTATGTCTGCATTTTTGGCTATCTCAACTTGAAGTCTTTCCTTCATATTTTCTAGTTTGTTTAAAGGACGGTAGCATCAACGACCTTGCAATAACGGATGTTATGAAATTTTGCGGATTGTACATGTAACCAACATACGTTTCTAGTTAGGTAAATTCGAAGTCGTAGATAAAATTTCTAGCGCAATTGGTACTACTTTTGCAAACATTTTATCCCGAAACAATACTTTTCAAACATTTTCTGATATCAGCTGTTTTCGTCCCTTCTTCCACACTTAACTAAGCGCATTTGAAGATGCACTAAATACCCGTATAACTAGTTGTTTCTAACAATCAACTGTAGAATCACTGCGAATTCAAGAAATGGCCATGGCTTAATGCTGCTGCTATTAAGCGTCCAGGCCAGTTATGTACAAACTTCCTCAAGACTAACGACTTCACCCTTCGTCTTACTTTTGGTTGATTCAAAATTCTGAAGCGCGTTTACGAATACTTACAGTACCGCACGGTAGGCATTTCGGACAAAATGCAATATATTTTCATTATGGTGCTATTTTTGACGGTCTGAATATGCTTGAGGGACACTGACTTCCATTTTCATGCCATCAACCAGGAGTGTCTTATTTTTTAAAGACAGAGTTAGCAGCAGCTACGTAGCAAGCTTAGTGCGTAGTCCCTTATTTACTTCGTACAGTGGTACATCTATGAACCTCGACAGGAAAATCAGCACATTCAGGTGCTCGAACTCGCTATTTCTCGATTCGAAGTTTGATATTCTGTCGATTGAGCTACCTCGGCAGAAGCAACGTCTGGTAAATTCTTGCTCAAGGGATTCGCAGTTAAGAAAAAGATTGCGCCGCCGTCGAAATCGAGCTCGGCATCTCCCAAGTTTGAAACCGACTTGTTAAAGACTACTCACCACGTCCCAGCGTTTAGCATAATCACAGCTGTGCAGAACGTTTACATTAAAAGACCTGTGACGTTTATGGGTTACAGGTTTCGGGTGAATCCTCACTTTCCGATAGGTTTCACATCAAGTGAACATAGAAACAACTTGCTTCCGTCATCTTTCAAGCGCCACTGATACCTAAATAACTTTGTCATAACCTATAACTGATATTAGAAAATATTTTTGTGCCATGACGAAGAAGCACTTAACAGAACATACCGATTTAAATCTTCGCAGATGACATTGCGGCACCAAGTACCGTGAAGCGCAGAATAACGTTGTGTAACAGCGCGATGGAATTACGCCTGTTCTAATGCTAACTGTTGTTGTCTGATTACCGATAGATCGTGTAGGCCTCTAAAATTTGTCGTTACCGGTTTCTATTTTACAGCGAACATTTACGCCAAACCATATTTTGGAAACAAACTTTTAACTTCTATATACATCGCCTGTGCATACCTCCAATCACTGAAACAAGATTTAGTTTCGAAGACCAACGCATGAACTAACATGAGTCTTCGAAACCACGTGACACTAGCGTCTGAATATACGCGCCGCAGAGCAATGAAGAGGACCATCACGAATCCAACGAGAATGACGAGGCTATACAACGCAAACTGAACAATCTATCATTCACTGTACAAAGCAAACGTAAAATAAAACATCAAAAGAAACATCTTGGTTACTTATTCGAAACATCACGGGGACTGTTCAGGGCAACCTTGAAACCCATGACCAAATTCAATTCATCCACAGTGTAGTTTTGAATGGCAAGAACCTTATTGTTACTGTCCCAGAACATTATGCGCAGCTTGTCGATTCCATGACAGATACGTTTTCGATACAATGTCAATCTCAGTGTG